TTGTTGAACAATTATATAGTCCCTTTGAAGGAATTGCCCTATTTCATTATGACGTCACAGCAAAACATTCTATTGTTTCAACACTAAGGATTATGGTCGCCAGATGGGATTAGAGTGACTAAATGGACAAATAAAATGTACAGGAGTAATCCTTTATACATTACCTATATATCAAAACACGATTCATTGAAGTTCTACTTTTTTTTAGGTAATAGAATAAATGAGTCCAAATTTCCACTGTTTTTGTTTCCACTGTTTCTCTGTTTTTTTTTTCATCGTTTTCTGATGAAAACATACTGTGACGTCATATGAAATAGGGCAATTGACGGCGAATCTTAACAAGATATCTCACATGATATCTAATATYTATACTGCGGTTGTGCGAATTTGTAATCACTCGTTTGATTTTAGACCAAATTGCATTCCATTCAGTTAAGTCCAAATTGCGAAACATTAGAAAAGACTTTGAAATCAAATAGACCTATCCATATGGGTCTAATAATCATGAAGCAACAGATTTTAAGAAGATGTTGATACAAATCCTTAATAATTTGTGCAAAAAATGTTGGAGTAGATGACGTCATTTACTCCATCCTTTTGTTCTTCCATCTTTTGAATCAAAATTGCTCTGATGTGGGACAATTCCAAAACAAATATTTTCCCCAAATTGTTTTTAATAGATATATGTGAGTCATATATTTGTATTGCTTGAAGTTTTGAAACAAGGCCATTTTCATGCAATTAGCACTTTAAATTACCATTATAAACAACATTTTACCAAATGAATTGCGTTGCAAAGCTGGCATAAAAAGAAAAACTAACCATTCCTTGAGAATTACGTGTGCTCGATTTCTCCTACTTTTCACTACTGTATAGATAAAATAAGTCTTAAAAATACATATTTAGATCTCTATAAAGAGGTACATGTACAGACACAGCTCAAAATCGATGTTCTGTTTTCATCGTATACCCGCACTTAAAAAAACGACCTTCAAAGCTCGATTTCTCCTGCTTTTCAATACTGTAAAGATAAAAAAAAAATTCTCAAAAATACATATTTGATCTCTATAAAGAGGTACATGTACAGACACAGGTCAAAATCAATGTTCGGTTTTCATCGTACCCGCACTTTAAAATACACAAGTTGTAACCATGCAGCCTTGCTGCTTCTGATCAAATATGAATAATAGAGTAACGCCAATAAATTGATTCATTTCCTTGTTATCAAAGCTTCTGCTGTTTTAACGGCATCTAATGTCACTGGATTGTTAGATTAAAACACTCATTAATTTAAACATTAGTCTTTTAATTTGATAGATAACCCCGCTGAGAGTTTTTTTGAGAGGTTTTTCAGAGGCGGCAATAAATTTTGGAGTCTATAATCGTAGTTGTCATTAAAAGCTTCTCTTAAAGGCCCAGTTTGCATCTGTTACGAAGAGTAAATACACAGTGGAAGCGTTTTAGTTGGTCTGTGTTTTATTTGTCTCGTATGCGCCATTAAATAGTCTATTTTATGTCTCATGGGACCCGACGCGTAAATTCCAGATATTATATAACACATTATATAATCATACACAACATTGCCTCCCCCCGAGGTACAAAGCGTCCGTCCTCGGACTAAATATCCAATATCAACACAAAGTTCACCCAAACTTTGGCTACACTAAACTACAATAATTCAGTTCTTCTTATATGTCCGTCGCACTGTCTCAATGTTCCAATTAGTTCGCATCAATGTTCTTCATTTTTCTCTCTTGTTTCTTCATCTGTTTCTTCATTAAACACTTTTTCCTTTGACGTCTTCATCTACTTTGACATCCTCAATTTTTTTTAGGGTAGATTTCTTGTAATTTTGTGTTGTTTTTTTTTTGTTTTTGTTTTTGTTTTTTTTTTTTTTTTAGTTTTTTTTTTTCATTTGCTAGCAATTTCAAATACAGTTAACTGTCCAATAATAATCACAGCATGTAGAAGTGAGCGTCGCTTCTACTTTGAATCCAAATGACAAGAATATAAATAATAATCGYTAAACTTGGAAGGGATCTTTGTTCCTCTTTTTCCTGGTCGTTGGGCATGTCCAGTAATTATCTCCTTCGCTCTAATTTTCATTGCTTCTTTTCGACGTTCTCCAAAAGTCATGGTTGATCTTGAATCCTTCTTTTGGTCTGAAGACTTTTTCTCTTGAGATGCTTGATTTTCACCTGAAGGTTTTAGCTCATCATCTGCCTTACTTTCCTCTTCCATTATAGAACCAAACCACTCAGGCGGTTCTCTGTTGTATTTACATAGTCTGTCCTTGTGCACTATCTTCGGCTTAGCTCTTGGAGAACGTTGAATCTCAAAGATTTGGTCACTGATCTTCCTCTTGACAACATAAGGGCCATCCCAGTTGCTTAGAAATTTAGGAGTTATCCCTTTTCTTCTCTTAGGTAAACAGTACCTAACAGCTTGACCCACATGGTAGGTGTCGTGTGTTGCTCGTCCATCGTACCTCCTCTTCATATTATCGGCAGAAATCTTGAGGTTGATTCTCGCAAAGTCGTGGGCTTCCTCTAGACCATCTTCAAGCTTGTCNATTAATTGTCACAGTCGTTTGGTTGCAGAAATTTTGGACAATCAATTCTCTTGTCACACTATGCCTCCTAAAACACAGCTTTGTACGTGGACATGACTTTCAGCTCTTATCATCATCTATAGACTACAACCAGGAACGAGGCTTTGCTCTGAATGGATCCGTGTACAGATCCTTCGTATCTACAACTTATGCACTTTGTTGGTTGGAATGTGAGCAAGACAAACGATGTAGGAGTTTGAACTATCACATGACAACAGCAATATGTGAGCTGAACGAGAGAACCAAAAACTCTCAACCGGCGGAGAAATATAAGACTAAGAATAACAGCATCTACTGCCCTTGGACACTCTCTGACAGTAAGTGTGAACAAGAATTATTTTTAATTGAAGAATTCTTTGCGGGATCGACTTTATCGCATTTGATTTTTAACCAATCAGTGTAAAACAAAAGAATGATCGCAAAGGTTTTTGGATGCGAGTGGTCCTTTAAAGTGCCTATAACGCCTGACAAAAAATTTCTGATTCTCCGTGAGCTGATTCTATATAAAATAAATAATTGAATGGTGAAACATTCCTGCATTTTGACAGTGTTTGCGTCTTTGAGTTATGAAGGTTCAATCTTACAATATGCTAATGATAAAGACGTCAAAGAAGGCTTCATTAGATATACGAACTTTGAAGGAGTCGCTTATGCACTAGTCAATGAAACACTGAACGGTTTTAACGTGCTTTTAACAGCAAAATTGCCCCGGGGGTCGGGATTTTGATGAACGGTTTTCGAAGTGGGGCAAAGAGGGTGGATTTTAACGCGCGCCGCGCGTTCAAAGTTTGAACATGTATGAGGCTGGAAACTACCTTGCATGAAAAAATTTTTAAAAGAAACTTATTGCACATGTTTTTCTCCGTCCAGTTAGCTTCATGTAGTACGCAAATGAGTACACAGCATTGTGCAAAAACTAACCTTGTGTATCACAATTTGATTGAAAGGTCTTTGTTTTGTTATTTACTACTACCAAAATAGTGGGGCAACAGTAGCGGGGATTTTAACAATAGAGAGTTTAAGCATCACCAATGACCTAAGAATTTCGTGCCTGACCTTGTGCTTTTGGTATAGTCGTCGGAAAGAGCGACTTTTCACGATTATGGCAACCTCAAACTAACCCGCTCTCGCGTTGAAACTGCAATGTTAAACTCCAAAAAGCAGATCACGTGATCTTTTCTGCCGTTTGCCGTGAGAGTCATGCTAAACCTCTCTAATAATGAATGTGTTCCCGACTACTGGGGGGAAATGTCCTATTTTAACACCACTCAAACGTGTTTCAATTGACTAGTGCATTAAAAATGGTTTCAAGACATTAAATTTATCGTATGTAATGTAGGGAATAACCATATTTCCAGATGGCGTTCATGAAAGCATTTTTGAGCGACTGCTTCAAAGTTCGTATATCTAATAAAGCCTTCCTTGGCGTCATTATCATTAGCAGTGGAAGACTCAAAGACGCAACACTGAAATGCAGAAATATTTCACCATTCAAATATTTACTTTATATGGAATCAGCTCACAGAGAATCCAAAATTATATTGTCAGGCGTCATAGGCACTTTAAAGGACCTGATCATGAATCGTCCAGGCGTAAATTCTCGAGACCTTGGTTTTACTTCAAACACCAGATTTCGGCGACGCGATTTCATGGAAAGCAAACAAAGCCCGTTTGTTGCTGATCAGTTTAGTACGCCCGCGTAAATTTCTCGACAAGCCGAGCCGACTCCACTGATTACGAAATATAAGCTCGTGACTGTTGTGAATGTAAAAAATAACATTAATTTATCAAATAAAGTCTCTTGGAGTACTTTTTTGTTTGTTTCACATTTTGAAGTCATCTGTGAGTACAGACGCTCGGTAAAATGGAATCTACTTTTTCCTATGTAGTATAACTTTAAATATACCTTGAACAGATACAGCAAGCTTAAGCGGCGGGCTCTATGTACAGATAGTAGCCCCCCACGGCGGGCACTGACGCGAAACGTGGTCGACTCTCGACCAATGAGAGCGAAGGATTGGTTGCTGAATTATAATTCTTTATAGGGCCAGATTGGATAAAGGTCAACTTGAACCCAGTTTGTTTTGGAGCCAAAGATGATGCATTTGGAAGCTTTGCGATCAGACCGAGAAGTGGACTGGTGACTGCCGTGCGATTAATCCAYGTGTCAGGAGAAGTGCAATGCGATCCAAATTTAAAACTTACCAAAT